ATTCCTAGGGATTTTCAGGGATTGGGTATTCCGAGGGTTTGGTAGATGTTATTCTCTTTCCCCGTCCAACAATGAGCACATTTTTCCTTCCTTTTTCAATCCTTCTTCTGTATCTCCTTCCCCTCTTCCTTGCATCTTAGGATTATCACCTTTGATGTACAAACTATGTATATAACCCAATCTTAGGGTTCTCCTTCTATTTTGTGACCTTCTTCCGGACCAGTTTCTCCTTCCGCCAAGTCCTCTTGCACCCCAAAGCCCCGCGCCTTCCTTCACGGACCTTCTGCGCACCAAGGTTGCTCCCTGATGTCAGTGAGTGGCGGCTTCCCTCCTTCCCACGGAAGGGGCGGAAGGCTCGGCGGCTTTGGCCCCTCGCCATGGCCTCGCTGATGACAGGGATAGGCTTGGCCAGGATGGCCTTGCGGTTTTGCCCAGGCATGAGAGAGTTGTGTCGTGCGGTATTTTTTTTGCGGGTGGAAGGGAAGGGTTGGGAATGATTTGAGTGGAAAGTAAGACTAGTAAGACCAGGCAGAAACAGTTCAGTGCTTTGGATTACTAACGCCAACATTGGAGGCTTAGACCTTTTATTCGACAGAGTCTCAGAGGTGAGGTTTATCTCAAGACCGAATTCTCAGAGCTTTCCGCCAAACAGTTGATACAGAAGGCCCCAAGAATATCTTGGCTTCGTGGGACTTGAAGGTCCTATCTTTTTGGTCGACCAATTATATACTACTTCATCTATTTTTTTTTTCCGAATGCATAGCGAAGGGTTCCCGTTTATCTCTGGGGGTCTGGGGGTAGAGCTGTGTTCATGTGACGCTAGCTTTGTGTTCGCAACCGTTCGCAACCGTCCGCAAGTGTTTGAATGTGATCGATAAAGCCGTGCCATTGGGGGAAGCATTTGGAGGAGGTTTTGGATGGAAGGCTGAAGTGTCAGATTCATGTGAAACAGCATAATTAGAAACGTAACATTTGGAAGTGAGATCCTCAGTTGCCTTCCCTGTGCCAGTGGCATTGGCGTTCGCAGGGTGGTTTGTTTGAGGTGTTGGATGTCGCTGTGACATCGGGATTTGCATTTCAGGCTCTTGCCTCGAAGCTGTGTCTTCGTGACATGTCTCAGCTAAAGCTGCGATGTCGGTGGATGTGAGTGTGCTCAGAAAGCATCGAAATCACTCCACGTGTGTGGTGTGTGGTGCAAGTTTTGCTGAAGACATGAAGGCGTGATGTAGTAATGTTTCGTGGCGGGCGCAGTCTGCTTGTTGGAGGTGTCGAAGTCGAATTTTCGTGAAAGGCGCAGGGAGCCGTGAGGTTGTGACGTTTGGCGGGCATCAATGTCGCTGTGCCATGGGGACTTGGCGTGTCAGCGGATGTGGCGGGGCTTGTGAAGCTGCTTGGCAGGGCTGCTTGATGTACTCCCTCTGAAGAGACTTCCCGCTGCACTTTTGGAGGAAGTCTCCTACGAAGCGCTCGTTGTGGGGACTTGACGCGTGAGTCTTTTTATGAAGCAAGAGTGTTCCACAGAGTGTTGTTCTGACAAGTGACAAGAGTCTCCCACAAAGAGTGTCCACAAGACTGCCACTAGAGTCAGAATCACTAGAGTGTCAAGAGTGTCCCACAAGAGTGTCCTTCAAAAGAGTGTCCTACGAGAGTGTTCTGCAAGACTTTCCGAGAAAAGTGTCCCACAAGAGTGTCTCCTACAAGAGTGTTCTGCAAGAGTGTCCCGGAAAAGAGTGTCTAACAAGAGTGTCTAACAATGTTTGGCCGATTGTTGCATTGGTTGGGGTTCCTCACGTCCAGTCGCGTCTGATGCATGCACCTTACACCACACCAGATTGTGCCGGGTTTGTGAAGGTTGGCCTAAGAGTTGGGGTATGAGTCACTTGAGTGCAATCCATCATTTTCGTGAGCAGGGTTTCATGGATGGCTGTGCCTCAAGTTGATTTGACCACAAAAAGGCCCTTGATGAAAGACCTCCTTAACACCAAGCGTTTGCCATGAGTTTTTGGTACTCAAAATGGACCAAGAAAATGTGTCCGCAGTTGTCCCTGCGAAACGCGGCGAAGAGTCGCCAGGATGGGATAGTACAGCACCTTGGAAGCCAACGAGTCTTCCAACCGTCTGACTTTTGGCTGGAACAGGGCAGGGGATTTTGGAGCGGCTACCGGGGATGCCCGGGGGGAGGTGATTTGGGCCTTCCAAACCCGGGTTCTTTAGTCTGGCACTAGTGCCTTCTTAAGAGGCTACCATTGAAGACCGATGTACCATATCAGATGCGTACAGTCACCTTCCACGTGACTTGGCGTTGACCCTGAATGATCCTTCCGGCTGAGGCTTGAAGCCCCTTCGTACAGGGAAAGGTGTCGGCATCGTGTCCCGCGCGCTGGCGCGCGGTGGCGCTCGCACGCGTAAGGGGACGGTGTCTGTTCGATGATCCTCTGAGGGAATGGCCTCAGAGATGTTTCGGACCGATGGATAGAGAGCCACGCCTTTCCGTGAAATGGGCTCTTGTTTGGTAGCGACTTCATCTAAAACCCAGTTCAAAAAGCTCAGAGCCCATCAAGGAGTCCTTTGCATCGCTCGGTTCAGTGCCTCTGGCGCCTCCCCGTTTGAAGTGACGCAGACCATGTCGCCCCCGTCCCCAACCGTACAGCTCGGGCAACGCACCGAGTCCAGTTCCCCCCTTGGACGCCAAGATCGGCCGAGGGGATGCGGGTGTCTTGAAGAGATCGATGCACAGGGAGGAAAGGAAGGGTCTGTAGAATGGGGCCTGTTCTAGAGTCGAAAGAACCACGACAAGACAAAGAAGAAGCACATTACGAAAAGAAGACCGAAAGACAAGACACCGACAAAGACCAAAGAGTAGGAAAAGAAAGGAACAAACTGGGGCAGCTGGGAGCGATTTTGACTTCTTTTCACCTCCAAAATAGGCTTTCAACAAGGGCCTTGCTGGCAGATGTTGCGAATTCCCACAGTGCTGCCATGCGAATTCCCCCAGGATTCGTGTCCCAACGGGTCTCAGGACAGCTTTAATCTTCGAAACGCATCGAACGTGCAAAAGTCGAAGGCGACACATCACTGAAGTATTTGGACTTCTCTTTTGCTCCCCCCAAATTTGGTTTCTCTTGACCCAAAAGGCACCAACGCCCGTTCACATATGTCCCTTTGGACCTCAGAGGTTTTCAAGCAGCTTCGCAGCTTCTTATGACTTTTGCTTCGTAAGCACTGACTGCTCTAGGCCTGAAGCTAAGAGTTGGTCTCAACTAAATGACACTACCCTTTGAGACTTGCTAGTAGGTTGGAGGCCCCTATTAGGGTGGAGGCCCTTTGAGACACCTTCATTACTGTCCTTTCAAGTTCTGCTCCGTTTCACCGGGAGTCTTGACGCACTTTGCGAGTTTCCTTCGACGTCTACCTATGTGAGACGCTTTGGGCTTCGCCGGCGTCGGCCCCGTTTCCAATCCACGGTACTTACCCCGCGCTTCCACGGCCCATTGTTTGGGCAATTGGCCGGAGGTCGGTAGGGGCGGAAGGCGGAAAAGACCTCTGCTCCTTCGGTCCCATCTTTTGAGTTGGCTTCAGATTCGAGGGGACACCTACTACTCATGGCCGCGATGGCCTGTTTCGGACCAATCATCTCTTGTTTTGAAGATGTAACATATAGATTTCTACAAGGGGAAAAGCTGGGTAAAGAACATGTACAAAGACGTCTGGATGCTCTGCGCCTACATCCCTGGTTGATGTCCCCGGAATAGATGCGCATTTCGAGCGCCAGTGTTATTTCTAGATGCGCCATGTTTTTCTAGATGTAAAGAACCCATTTTTTGTAGAAGCAACCGTTCTGCGAGCATGACAAATCTGTCGCCAAAGTTGTGCTGAATCTATGGACCTCTGCCTGAGTCGATGGCCACGGGGGTCGCCGAGCTTCTAGAAACCTTGGTTGATGACTAGTAACAAGAAGCTATTAGGAACAAGTGCATCGCTTCTAGCAAACAAGTGCCTTACTAGTAGTAGCAAGAAGCTATTAGGAACTAGTCCTCAGAGTCCTCAGAGTCCTCCAGGCCCAGGATTCGCACCGGTGAGTCACAGCAGGTCACTGAAAGCCTCCAATGCTCAATGCCTTTCCGGGCCTTTATGAATGACAATTATGACAATTGCATCCTCTTAGAACCGCTTGTTGTATCGATCAAGGACCAAGGCCAAAACGAGTCTAGTGTTCCAGAACTGTGGGTGTTCCGAACACCTGCGAGATCTTTCTGGCCACTCTTTTTCTGGGCCGCACCGGGCGACCTCACTGCCGGAGACCTGTTTTTCAGAGATCCCAATCCATTTTCTGCCTAATCAATGGGGTCATTGCATCGCTGCGGGGATCAGCGCACGGCGCGCACGCGCCGGCCCTCCGTCCCGGACGCGCGACGCGCGGCCCGGGGCCATCGAGCTGGTGCGGGAAAAGAGGAGCAGTGAAGATGCAAACGGGGGTAAGTGAAGGTCGTTTCTGAGAAAGCAAAGGATTTCGGGTTTCTGAGAAAGCTTAGGAAGCAAGGTCTTTGTTTCTTTTCTGCCTTAGCCTAATCATTTAGGATTCTAGCAGTTCTTGAAAGGTATTTTGTCTACCGGAGTGAGGGAAAGGGTGACGAGGGACGATCATGTTTGAACATTCTCATGTTGCACTGATGTTCATCTCCTTGTATTCAAGTCGCCTAAGCCTGCTCTCCAAGACTTCGACCGCCTTTAGGGGAAAGAACCCAGCTTGGCCAATCTTCACCAGGAAACCTTTGCAACATGAAATTTGACCCTCAACTGGTGTCAACATATCACAACCACTTGCTTTGTCGCACGTAGTCCGAGAGTAGGGTCTACAGAGCTTAGCTAGTTGAAAAGCTCCAGTCGCTTCAAGGCTTGAGGGTAGTTATGTCCTGTCCTCCATCACATGATCGACCAACGCCTCCATGTCGACCTCGCCTTGCGAAGTGTTTCATGCCGCCGAACGGTTGACTTCCCAGGAAGGCCACAGAGCTTCTGCAAGTGCTGCCGATGGACGTTCCTCTTGCGCCACAGGCAGAAGGCCAGACCTGGCAATGGACAGATGACGCTCAAGCTTCAGCTTCCCAGACATTTCCTTGGCCAGATTGCTTGTTGTTTGCATGTCAGACAGGAGCAGGATAAAGTCATTGTCTTGAGTCGTTTTTCAACGATGCCAGTTATGCAACGAGTCATTGTAGAACTATTAGCATTTCGTAAGCACTGCGGTGCCAGCTAGATGTGGAGGTTTAAACAGTGCATGCTTGTTTCCCGAGCGATGTTATTCTTGTTTTCTACACATGCGCCTTTCCATGCGCCTTTGCCAGGAGTCAGCAAGAATGCCAAAAGGAATGAGCTGGGCTCTTGGAAAGGAGACAAACTTGAAAAAAGAAGACCAATGGCCGAAAAGCCTTCCGGACCTTGGACAGGAAGTGGAGTCATGGGCTTCGAAAACCTCCACTTCCTGTTTTGGTGGCCGCTGCCTGTTGTGCTTCATTGCCGTACTTCGCCGTACCTCCGAGGCGCCGGCGGAGCCGCAAGCACAGTGAAGAGGCGCAGAGGGCGGGACCGAGCTCGGTGTGAGCGAAGTGACAGCAGCAGAGCGCTCTCAGCCCCGATGGGATTGCGGACCTTGTTGGGGAGGCAATCACTTGGTGGCGCCTCCTACTGTAACTAATAGCTTCTTGTTACTTGTTTTTTTGTTTTTTCAATCACCTTGTAGACCAGTGCTAAACCAATCACGGACCGACGAGAGCTATGCTTTCTCACCGTTTAGCGGAGGGCAGAAACTCAACCCCCAACGAAGGCGTCCTCGTTGAAAAAGGACGGTCCACCGTGTAGCGAACGACCTGACTTCGGTAGGTCAATCGGTCCGTATTCTGGTGCGATGACCCACAGCCGTGTTACCCAAAACCCACTAAGCCTGTTCGTGGGTTGTTTGGCTGAGGGGTACCCGTTCGCGCCAGAAGGCTGTGAATAACATAAAACTTTGAATGTTACCCTTTTTCTTTAACGGCGCCTTTGAGTCCAAGAAATAGCCGCAGACCGGTACAACATGTTGAACATCATTTTCGATGTTTACCGTTCTTACCGGGCGTGTGACAATTCAAGAGGCAACCGACCCGGGAAAATCCTTTAGCAACGTGACCGTTCTTTATTTTTAATGTTTTTACCACGCCTTTGTTACAGCCATTTGGCTAGCAGACCCGGGAAACATGGCATAAAATAGATGATTTTTTGCCGTTCTTACCGCACCTCACTGCGGAAAGGACACCCATTTATTTTTACTATTTTTCTATTTCTTAATCTTTGACCTGTGAGCCACTGATTGCGAACCAAGGTACAATCTCGCATTCTTGCATTACTATGCATTATTACTATGCTCCTTTTCCATACGCCATACGCCAAAAACATGCATGTCTTTTTTGCAAAAAACACTGCCCGGATACAACGCATGCAGTAAACGCTCTCAAACCTATATAACCCGATGATTCTTTCCTTCACTTTTCAGTCTGTTTTGACTGCGGATTTCCATCAACAGAGTCTACATTTTTGGACCCGAAGAACAACGCGCACAAGGGAAGTCGCTTGGTACCGGTCTCAAAGCATCTTTAAAACCAAAATTGCCCGACAGATCCGCGCAAAGGCACTGTTTCTTTTTTTCCCGTTTTTACCGCGCCCTTCGCACGAAACACCACAGACCCGTACAAAACGGACAAACAGATCACCCTTTTTTATCGTTTGCACCGCGCGTGTGGCCGAGCACAAAGACCTCCCGAGGTCTCGTCACGCTCGACGGAGGACACTGTTCTCCCGAGATCCTGCCCCGCCGTGACACTCTCTCTTTCATCCACGGAAAGTGAAGAACCTGGTCCCTTGGATGACCATCTTCAGGGATGAACTCTACAACATCTTCAAACACTCCCTGTTCAATCACTTCCTTGATGGAGTTCACCATCTTCAAACACGTCCTCTACCAAACCTCGCCAGGATGGCGCCTCGAGCGATTCGTCCGGCTGGGCCATTGCGCCACTGGGCGGAAGGATTGGTTGTCTTCAACTGAAAGCAGAAGCACCGCTATGGACGCTATGCTTGACACATTTTGAAGAGATGAGCAAGTGGGTTTGTCAAGAAGTAAGAGATAGGAGTGTGACCAATTCATGTGGGGTGTCAAAACGCTCCATGCTGGCAATCAAGCTGTTGGAGGCCATCGCGAGTGGGGTGGAGGCCAAGCTCTTGTTTTGTGTCTCCCGCTCCACCGAATCCCAGGTATGGAGGTGATCCAGAATTCTCCTTCAGCCCGGCCATGAGGTGCGGACGACTTTGGTCTGTTGATTTGCCCGGCCGATCGTGTTGTGGCTTTTGGATTCTCCCATTCTCATGCATTCTCACTGCACAGTCACCAAGCGCTTCGTTGTCACCCACTGCACTTGGTTTCCTCCAGGATGGTGGTGCGGCAAGTCTCCTCCTCTTCGCACACATCGCACGATGTGTCGTGACCTCGGGGGGTCGTGACCCAGGAGCCGCTGGTCCGCTCGGTCGGCACGCCGCCACGGGCCCCTTTGTTTGTGGGTGGGATTGAACACAAGTAGACAGACAATATCTAAAAATGATACATAGTGTATGATTGTATGACATACACTCACATGAACTTCTTGAGTTGAGAATCAGCTTCATGTTTAGCAGGGGTACGATAGGGTACGGGATGTGCCAGGGCTCAAGATCCAGTACCCTATAGCCATACAAGGATGTGGAAGGTACATCCACCGAAAGACAAGTCTCTTCCCTTTTCAAAGGTTATATGCATAGGAAGGCCACAAAAGACCATAGTTTTTGGAAGTAGTGTTTGGAACAGCATCTTCCTTTGATTCCGATTTGATCCCAGAACCACCCCGGAAACACCGGAATTCGATTCCTCATCCCGAGGCCAGACATGGAGCTGCCGCCGCCGGTGGTGCTTCCGCGAGCCGAGGAAGTGGCCACGAAGGTGGCTGACGGTGTCTTTGCAACGTGGCTGTGTCATTTCTTCGCGAAATCACATACCATTGCTATTAGGTTGGAGGCCATCGCTAGCAGGTTGGAGGCCATCGCTCTTAGGTTGGAGGCCATCGTTCTTGTGTCATTTATTTACCATCCAAACAAATCCTCTTCACGAGTGCACAACAGGAAAGCGCAGCGGGCATTTGCAATCATTTGCATGCTTCGCATTTGATGCAAACCAAACCTACTGACCAGAAAAAACGACATCCAACTTTTGTGAGTTCCGGGGTCTTGAGCCATGCCGTGAAGCCATGTGTCGACATATGTCGTCTCCAAACAGATTTGCGTGATTGGATCCAGTGTGTGTCGTCTCAGCCACTCGATTCATGGGGGGTTTCCATGTGTGGAGTGTGCCGTGGTCCAAAGCCATCGACTGAATCAGTGGGAATTGGTACGAGGACGCGACTAGGGAGGCCATGGCTATTAGGTTGGAGGCCATCGTTACGAACGTAACAAGAAGCTACTAGTAGGGAGAATGTACTTTCCATTCTAAGATACCAGGGGATTAGCTTGGCTGATCATGCACTGATGTACCCACGGAACTCGTCCGTCACATTTAGATGCATGCATATAGGTCATTTGAGTTGGCCAACTCTGAAAGTGCAGTTTGTGATGTCCACAGATTTTGGGGAACAATCTAGTTTGCAAAACCCGCCAAACTTACTTGACATCAAAATTTGGCCAGTCGATGAAGACTTTGCAACGAACAGGTTGGGGACTTGTATATCACCGATATGATACGAGTCATGCTCGTGTGGTCTATTCTTTACATGTCCAAAATCTGCTTGATCTATATGACCCGCTTCTGTTCGCGGAAAAGGACGTTTTTTGGGATGGTTCATTCTCCAAAGTGGGGGGTCAGTTTCTAGGTGCGGGGGGGGTGGGCTTCTTTGAGATATCTGATATCTGGGACACCGCTCAACTGGCGCCCGCCACACCCTCCCACACCCTCCCTGGAGATCTAAATTGGTCAGTCATGACAAAGTCCACAAGTCAAGACCTGGAAATCTGGGTTTCGGTACCTTGATGGTAGTTGTTGATGTCCATGCGCATCCATTTCCATCACAGGAGCCTCCTTCTTCGGCCCCCAAGTCGGAGGACGTCACACGGGAGGCATTGCTGTTGTTTTGGTAGAGAGCTTAGCTGTTTCACCGTTGCTCGTTTCGGCCACACGGTTTTGTTTTTCCGATTTTGGTGAGTTCCAAAGCTCCTTGTTTTGATAGGCTGTTCCGGCTGACATTCGCAATTCGACTCCGAAAGAAGGCACAGACTCGTATTCGTCCACCAGACTCGTGCCTTCTCCAGTCCGGGCCTTCTGCAACTGCAAGGGTCGTCGTTCTCCACCCGTCGCTCTCGGTCTTTCCGCGGTCGTTGGGAGAAACTCCATGAAGACCACAGAAGGAGTTTTCTCCCGTGGACCAAAAAAGCGCCCAACGATCAGTGCCCGGAAGAGGCGGGCAAACGCGTCGCCAGGAGAAAGCGGAAGCCGGGAAGTCCAAACAGCAACGGCCTTAGCTCCGAACAAAGAACTGGCCCTACAGAGATTTGAACGATATGTTAATCAAGCGTTGGACTGTGCATTTTCCCGCAACTAAGATAAGAACAACTGGGAAGGATGGGTGCTATAGTGGAGAATAAGGGAGTGAGCCCCCAATAGAGATTCCATTGGATCCAGCCACCCTCAGCCACCCTACTTTCGTCGCACACGTCTGTCGGATTCCCTCCCATCGGAAACTCAAGCGACCTATGGCACCGTGACTGGATCTTCAGAAGTCAGAGGTGATCCAAGACCAGTGAAGACATGTCAAACTACTCATGTCACTCTTTTGAGTAACAAAAAGATCTCCCCAGTTTAGGGTTTTCACCAGGTCCTCCCGAGACATTTCCTCACGAATCAGTACCAAGGCTTGCTCCAAGGTCGGTCTGTCTGGACGGTTTTGTTCGGAGTCTCTTCTCCTGGACCCACTAAGAGGATGCTACGAACGGAGCATTTCGGGCATCGCTACGAACGGAACAAGGACGCTACGATCGGGGCTCCTGGCCTTACTACTAGTAACAAGAAGCTATTAGAATTGGAACTTAATTAACTATACCCAGGCCCAATGGGTCGAGGCAGCACTTGGAAGATGGATGGAGCTCCAGCCACCCTCATTCTTTGAATTCGTTGCGTGCCCGGATGGACCGAGGGGGCTCACCAAGCTGGTTCGTCCGATGGAGCTTCGACCGGTTTCTGCTTAAACCAGCTGTCTTGCTGGTTTTGAGGAAGAAGAAGACCAAGAAGAAGTAGCAGTGGCTGAGTTGAATCCGAAGCAAAGAATGTTTCCCAAGGCTTAGAGCTCCTGATGTGGGTTGGATTTGTTTACTCATTGGATCCACTAAAGATGATGAGAATTCCTGCAGAATTCCTTCCTCGCGGTGCGAAGTGAGAAAGTGGATCCGAAAGCCCATCGGTTGCAAACTTGTTCATAGATGTAAAGGCAAACTGGTCAGAGACCTTGCCTAACGTGTGAGGGCTGATTCGGGCTGATCCATTCCCGGGAAAATGGATAGCAACCACTGGCAGTTCAGATCCAAGTGTAAGACCAGTTCAAAGGAACGTTCAACTCCAACAGCTCAATGTCTCAACCTCTTAGAGCTGTTAGGTCAGACACAGCGGAAGTTCCTACGCTGTTCGGATAAGCGTTCGACCCTGGCCCACTGAACTACACTGCTGTGCGGGTTCTTTTGAGGCCACAGATCAGCCTTCACGCGGGCGACCCATCTGGGCGCGTAGGTTTGGGGTGAAGAAGCCCCGCCCCGACGTAAAAAACGCATCAAAAAGCACGCCCACCCTGACGTTGCGAGCGTTTTACGTGGCTGGCATTCTGTTGGATGGTCAGAACTGAAGCTTCCATATAGATGGACATGTCAATTCCATTGAGACATGTTTTGGCATGTTTTTGTGTTTGTGCGGGATAGAAGCTACTAGTAACAAGGTGCATCGCCCACCCACCTTTCACGGGTCACTCAAGGGACTGCTCTTTTGATCCCAAAGTGAGATCTTTTCCACATCCGAATGGCCAAAAATGAAGAACCACGCATGGCTGCAGTCCTTGCAAAGGAACCGGGTCAATCACCTACTTTTGGTCGTCTGAGGAGATATTTCTTCCACTTGAACACGTTGCACTTGCACCAGAATTGCGGACATCAAATCATGTCCCATCTTGACGAAGATCATACCACCACCATGTCCCACTAGTTGACATGCTTGTGCTGAAAGGATCTGAATATGTAGCTTGTGTGTGTTTTGCTAGGATCTCGACGACCACGTGCACCCCGCACCACCACGTGCATCCGCCTGCCCTTTTGGACGTCTCAGATGGAGGGGTAACCAGACGTTCCAGGCCCGGGCAACCTCGCCGGCGAGGGACAATCCGAATGGAGGGTTGGGGGTTTGATGGTTCATAAAAACACACATTTTCCGGGTGTTTTTCCAAAGGATCAGGGAACGAGCAAACGCTGTGGATGCCGGTGCGGCTGGCAGAATACCTTTCGGAAGGAGTTTTTGGGAGGATGATGGACATGTGCTGGAAGTCGGAATACCTTGCGGCGCGGGCTTGCGGGGGACGATCACGTGCTGCATATGTGCTGGATGTCGTAGTACCTTGCGGCAGGGGCTGGAGGGGAGGGGTGCGGTCAGAGGACGATCGGTGTGTGGATCGCAGAATACGGAATACGGGTGATTCCGGCGTGCATTTGAGCTGGGTGTGGTAACTCCTTGCGGCAGGGGTGGGTGGGTAATGTCAGTGCACTGCGTGTGAGTGGAGGATTGGCGTGAGGGCCGTGTCCTTGCAACGGTTCATGCTGCATGGGCCAGTCAGTTGACAGCAGTAACGAAGAATGCAGCAGCGAGCAAGCGGCTTGCGCATTTGCAGATGCAACAATGAGACAGATGGTCTCCTTGCTCGCCCCGCTGAATGGATAAACATGGTACCTTGTTGGGGCGGAACACAACGCCACCACGATGCGGCGATGGGGGCGCATCAGGTGTATCAGCTTTCATGGCAGTTCGAGCAAGATGCTCTCCGCACATAGCTTTGCACACAGCTGTGCGTAGCAGCCGACCGTATCAGAACTTGTTTCAGGCTAATCAGGCAGCCGTTGACTGTCAATGCTCCTTTGACAAGCGCAGAGCCCCAAACAGTTCAGCAAACTTCGCCCGACCCATCACGAGCAAATTGCATGAAACAAATAGATGTGTTGGCAAGATCAAGTGCACAGGCGGGCGCTTTCTTCATGAGTTTGAGAGAGTGTGTGCCCGCAAGGACACGAGACACTAACAGACTGGACCCTCAACTTGTGAACAATGATGCAAAGCATTTCTGGCTGCGAGTTTTCTATCTGTTTTTCTCCTCCCTGAGCGCCTCATATTCTCTTCATATTATGTTCCTTTCCCTTTTGGTGGTTCTGGCTGCTTGCTACTGTAATTCCTGGCTTGGATGTTCTGCTTCGTTCTCCTGCGTCGCTGCCCACACGCAGATTTCACCAAAAACTAAACCGCCTTTGTTTTGCTTTTGGGTGCTCAGGTTCACCTTGTTTGGAAGTGTTATTGTTTTACACTAGCGTGTTATCTATCAGACCTATCGCTTCACAAATGATGGCCCTCTGGAGGAAAGATCAGCCCAGAAGTGAAATCTATGTACCAAAAGAGTGGCGCGTAGGTGGGGCAAAGCACGTCTAAAGGTTCAGATTGGTGGCCGCGCTCGAACGCAGGTGGTAGTGAAGAGTGACTTGGTTCAGGCTAAACTTGAGAGGTTACTGTGGTGACTTGTCGCCTGTATGTCCAAACCATACTTTTTCGATACTTTTTCTTACAAGGGTTCCCTATTTCAGTGCTATTTTTGCATTGCTTGCCTGAGGGCAGTGCATGACATATGCACCAGTCTCCAGCCTCCCGCTTTCTTGCCAGGTGCTGAGCCCGGACGTTTTGAAAAACGAGCAGCAGCAGTTCAGCAGCCAGTGGAGTGGAGACTGCCAATGACCTCCGAAAACTCACCCTAAAGCTGTTCAAAACTCAGAGGATTTTCAACAATCCTTTTGACCCCTCACCTTTCCCACACCCTAGACTTCACCACCCTGATCTAGAATCGACATCGGAACCGCTGCATGTGACGCCGCTTGCGTACCGGGCGCAACCGCTGGTGCGCCCTAGCGCCCTTTCGGCCGCCCGGCGAAGAGGGGTGGTGTCAGGTGTTGATGGACGGGTCTGGAAACGGAGAGGGGTGGTGTCGGGGGGTATCTGTATCTGTGTTAGCATGATGGTTTCGATTGTGCAGAAAAAGAAACACAGAACCGGACACTGTTTGTTTTGATTTGACCAAGTTCAACAGAGTAGTCTCCAATGAGTCTCCATACTCATCTTCACTCCCGAAGCGTTCGGACCGGATGATCGATCTCCAGCGGCACCCGGTTCGAGCGACCTCTCAAGGCCATGGCAGATCGCAAGCGCATGAGCATCGGCGCGGTTACGCCCCCCATGGTGGGGTCGCGGTCCAGTGCCACCACTGAAAGAGAGGCCAGTTCTTTGGGATCGAAGACAGGGTGCGGAGGTGGAGAAGACAAAGAGATGTGGAGGCCATCGCGATATAGTAGTTGTTCTATGTTGTTCTTGTTTTCAACAAGGCGTTCAGGTGATGCAATACTGTCGATGTTCAAGGGCTTCGAGGCAAACATTGAACATCCTAGCAAATGCCATCAATGCTGCAACCTTTGCACTTGCTGTCATCATGTAGATTTCCTTCAGGATGAAGGGATTTTGTGGAAACCCCCCGGTGCATAGAAAAATCCACGGGGATGTAGACAAATACCAATTTTTGGGAACTCACTTTTGACATAAACTCCATGACACGTGTTTTGCCCCACGGTCCCATCATCTAAGTCAAGGAGAATGCAGGCTAATGCTTTTTTGGTCAACCATGTATGGGGATTTCTTCTCAATCTCCCCAAAAGGGAAAGCCAACCTCTAACGCAGAGCAAATGCATTGCGTGTCTTGGTGAGGCTGGCATTGCAGAGGCTGGGTGTTTGGCAGAGGGGTTCAAGAGCTCGGATGAAGCGCTTCTGGATCGATCTTCCAAGTAGGCAAGAGATCACAGGAAAAGACAGAAGAAAGGACATAGCCCAACACCCAGTGATTTCTGGCGCATTCTTTGGACGTTTTCATCAGGTCTTTGGCAAAGCCTGCGAGGAGAAAGCCAAAGCCATGTATGCCCGGCACCTGAGATGACCAGATTAGGGGATGAAGCTGGGAGACGTGGGCGGGACAAGGCCATGTTAACAGATCGTTTTTTTCCCCAAACAGTTTACTGTTAGGGGTTCTCAATGCTTTAAAGAATGGTCGCCTTGTGGGGTCTACGGTGGGGTAATTGGGATATGTTGAGCATTGTTGAGCCGTCTACTTGGTGAATGGCACTAAGCGCCTGTCGTGACGAATGGGCACAGCGCGCCCTGGAGCGAAGAACCGTTTCGCCCAAAAGCAAGCGGTGGGGTGTGAAACACCGCAGTCTGCGAAACAACGCAGTCTGCGAAACGCACCGCTCCTTTGCTTCGATTGCAAAAGGAAAAAACCACATGAAACCCCATGACCCAACCCCCACCCCGCTGCGTTGGAGTTTCAAGCCAAGCACACACGCCCCTTACGTGTGCACGTGTGGCCTCGCCCCTGACAGCTAGCCGTCATGAGCGGCCCGCTTCGAAGTGTGCTGACCTTCCGCAGACCTGCAGAAGGCATGGTGCTCCAAGAAATCCGACCTTTCCCAGACGAGGAGACCTGATGGAAGAACGAGGGTTTGGATGGATTTTTCGATTTTCATGTCGTTTTCCGAATGGAAGCGGACTCCATATGAATCAATGATAAGAGCGCATGCTCACATTCAATCTTGAGGGGTGGACCGAGTCGACCGAGTGACACTCGGTCCGTTCTTTTCGCCCGACCCAGGAGCCGTGCATTCTCTCAGTGAGAAGGACTTTCTTGGACTTGTCCCCGTTTCCCACTGCGCTGCCCCGCAGTGCGTCAGCTCCTGGGCGATCAGTGCAGCCGGTGCGTTCCAACTTCCACACGGCACCGACACCTTCCCATCCGATCCCATCACAACATCTCCAGGTACAGAGGGTGCCCATTCCATCGCTAACGATGGAAAGAGTGGGAGCTTCCCCACTCCATTTGGTGCCAGAGCGTGACACACGGCCAGGGCAGGCAATGACACACAACGATGCAGTGCGAAGGCCGCAGAATCTTCTTGGGGCACAGGCACTTGGTGAGGTGCAAAACCCGCCAGGGCAGCACAGCATGATCACGCCACAGGCATTGCAACTGACTGAGCACAGTCGGGAGCAGAATTTTTTGATGCCTCAGCACATGATGCAGCCATGGCAACAAGCACCAATGACACAGGTTGAGGCAGCGCGAGGTTCACAGCAACTAGACAGGGCACAGTCCGCAGTGTCTTCCTCTGCCGCATGTGATGCTCCCAGTCGGGCATCATAGTCCACCAGTGCTGCTTCACCAGGCAGCGGCAAGCCATGCATCGTCAGAGCCTATGAACAATCCAACACCTGCGGAATTGCACGAAGCAGGCGAATGTCAGCCTTGCAAGTTCTTCTACGGGGCCACTTGGCCAGTCTCCTGCAGCTGTGGTCAGTCACTAGGAGGTCCTGAACTTCGAAGACCACCACTTGCTTAGATGACTTGGAAGCCACCTAGGGGAGGAGGGCTCGTGTTTCTCACTGGGTCTAACAAAAGAGGGCAAGTCTGACAGGAGTCTTTGCTTTCATTGCGTTGGAAGTTGCGGGTTGCCACTTTTCCGCTTTTGGACGCGAAACGAAGACGACTTGGACAGACGGCGAAGACGGAAGGATCATGGACGCTTCAGATGCGAAGACAGGAAGCTCTTCAAGTGCATTGCTACTAGTAGCAAGAAGCTACTAGGTTGGAGGCCATCGCTATTAGGTTGGAGGCCATTACTACTAACAAGAAGCTACTAGTAGCAAAGGGCAAACTCCTCTTCTAGGCTTAACATCCTCATCTTCTAGGCTGCAAGTCTTCAAGGCTTCAAACCTCCAAAGGAAAGTCACCCGGTATTGCCAACACACTGTTAACTGTTATTACTTGTTTATTTTTCTATTTTAAATTTTAAAGAAACATTTTCTCATTCCCACATTTTCTGCTTTGGCTTATTTTGGCCTGTGGTCTGTATTCCCTTTTTGTCTTCGCAAAGGTGGGTCGGCGCTGCCACTTCGGCGACCGCTGCCCGAAGTGCCATCTCTGCACCAAGGCACAGGCCATGAAGCGCGTGAAGGTCTTAGGATACAAGAGCCGTCAGCAAGCCAAGGAAGCCCAACCGGCCGAAGGCTAACATGGCGGGACACAGTCCAGAGTCCAGGAGACTTCCTCCATTTACAGAACCAGACCTGCTTTTGTGGGTCACAAGTATTTCAAGTATTTAATTGATTTCCGTGCCTTTCACTCTTGGCTCAAATTGACCGGCCGTGTGGGAAGTGGGGCCCAGTGGGAAGGAAGTCGATCGACGGATCGACTTCCACTTCCGATTTTCGTGGCGCCCCGAGTCACGTCCTGTCCTCCTCTTCCACGAGATGACCCAAGTAGAGAAAGATGTCCAACTTCAACCACTGGTGGAACAAAGTGAAAAGAGAAAGCTGCTGGGAGTTGTTGCCAAAAACCAAGCACAACAAATCCTTTGTTTTCTCATTGGAGCCTTGGAGCCATCGAAACCTCCAGTTGACTGTCCAGTCACCTAGGAAAGCCATTTATGAATTGGTCCAACCTCCCCCCACATGATATGCTGCGGGGGAGTTGGTCACAGCGTCGAATTTTTTAACGATCCGCTCTTCTGTTGGCCCGCCGGCCTAAGAAAAGCGGTCGACGGACGTGGCAACCGCGTTGTCCGACAGAAAGAAGCATGGGCGAGTGAATTCAAGAATGGAAGTGCCGGGTCAAAAAGAAAAAGCATCATCTGCAAGTCTGCAAGGCTGGAGTGTCCCTATCCCCAGTTGTTTTTTCTTTTTCGATTTTTGTGTACTGTGGGAGCTTTGGAAGCTGTGGCAGCTGGCTCGCTCGCTCAGGTCACGTCCATTACGGACCGGGATCTGCAGGGCCGGCCGAGTTTCACCGAGAAGGCGGAGCAGGGAAGGAGGGAGGGAAGGACTTCTTGGGCTGGTACATGGTGAAGTTGGCGCGGGTGATGCACAGGGGAAATGCCAGGTCATGCCATGAAATGCAGGCAAAATCAAGATTTTGAGCTGGCTTGGGGGTGTGGAAGAGGGTCCACATCCGTTTGCTGCAGCTATGCAGGAGAGAGAATCCTTGGAGAGTGTTTCTTTTTGCTTGATGTTGAACATGGGGAATGTTCAATCCTAAATTGCAGACCAGTCAGGGCTGTGATTCCTTCAGAGGCACTCTTTCGAGGCCATCGTTCTTAGGTTGGAAACCATTGCTATTGGACGGGATGTTCTCATCCTCCACCTCTGTCCGCCCACGCACACCTTGGGAGGGTGGCGGGGGCGCGTAGCTATGAGCTGCGCTCAGCTGGTGCATGTGAAGAACCACTTCTGCCAGTGATCTGGCGCACTGAAGTCGCCCTTTTTGGGGGGCGGAGGTCTCTTTTGGATGACTCGCCGCTACTTCGTCGCTCGCCAGGATCGGGTGGTCCTGGCACCGCCCGAGTGCAATGAACAGGAGTGGGCTTTCCAGCGCATCTGCGCCCCTCTTCAGCCCGAACGGACTCTTGGTGCTTCTTAAGAACTCGACTCTTCTTTTCTGTGGCCAATTGGAGCAGGATCAGGATCATAGAATACTATGAGCTATGGTCAAAACATGTGAAGACCACATTTAGTAAAGAGGGGTAGGTTTGTGCACAAAATCCTGTAAAACGACAAGGTCCACCTCAAAACCGATAACCCCAGGGCTGTATATGATCATAAGTATGCGGCGAACTCGCAACACCGTGAAATGATAAGGTCAAATTCAAAACCGATAACGTCAGTCTTTTAGTTGAATGGTAATAAGTTTTGACAGAGAGAGAGAGAGAGGCTCAAGTTCGCCCCCACGACTTCCGAACATTTCAAGACCAGTTGGAACACGTCTCCCATTCCGATGAGCGAGCAAAAAGAGACCCCGCATCCACGGATGTCCATGCGTCAGCTTGTCGCAGGAGATGGAAGATTGGGTGAGACAAAGCGTCGGCTATGGATGTAGAAAGGGCTTGAAACCCGAGAGCCCGAACCAGGACGAAGCCGGTCTCGTCGACCGGTCGACCGGTCCGCGCGCGAGAGTGGGTATCGTCAAGTCCGGACGAGCGGATGAGATGGTTTGGTCTGGTTGGGAGGGTCAAAGCAAGGTTGAAAGCCTATAATTAGGTGATGTATAAAGCCGAACCAGGCAGAGAGCAGCGGACATGTGCGGGTAGCGGGTAGCGTAGCAACTCTTTGTTCTGTTTGTGACATGCACTTGAGGCCAATTTCTCAGAGTTCCCACCTCCCAAAGTGTGACTGGGTCTAGCTCATAAGTTTGCCAAGGTCCACTGAAACTGGTGAAGATCCTTGGTTACATACTTACATCAACCCTGTAGATTTTTGGTGCACATCGACTCAATAACTACTCATTCCACTGTCCTTTTTGAATCTCCATCCGGGCAAGGACAGCTTCTCCATGGTAATGGTGGAGAATGATTTTGCCCGTCGGTCGCATCGAATCTGCGGGCATTGGGCATTGGGGTTTTCCTGAGTGAGTGAGTTTTTGTGGACGCTGGTTGGATGTTGAGGTGGTTGCTGGAGGAGATGAATCCCAAGTCTTTGGAATTTTGTTGCGATTGGCGTCAAGATGTGTCAAAAGCCGATTTGGGCACGCGAAGGCAAGAAACTCTCATTTTGGTTTCAACATGTTTTGGGCCGTGTGACTGTATGTGGGAGATTTGTTTATTTTTTGGTTCCTCTCGCACCTCAACCAGTGAATTTGGGATGACTCCGTCGCATTCCTCCCGGGTGCCGCGGAAGTCTGGACAGTTCCATCCATCCCGGTGCCGCGGTAGCGAGCCGCTCGCCGCGTCGCGCTCTGCCCACCGAAGGTGGTTCGAGGGAAACATCGACGACGTGTGTCGCTGACATTCCGCAGGATGGGGCGAAAGCCCATCGGTTTGGGGTTTAGGGTCGGCTTTCCCCTTTCGGAAGGGGAAAGAGGTGCGGGAATCGTGCCCCTCCCCATCCATTTTGGGCTCGGTCGTCCTGGATTTGGTCACATGATATGTTTTTTGTCCCCCTTTTTTGGTGTTTTCGGTCGGAGATTCTCGATTTTTTGTGATGGATTCTCCTCAGGCGATGTACGGTGTTTATGATGGCCATGGTCCAGCAGGCCACGACTGCTCGGACCTGTCCTTGAGGCACGCGAGAAGCGTGTGTGAGAAGCGAGAGAAGCTGCTCAAGGTTTTCACTGGGCTCTTGAAGCGCTTGAACATTGGGGTTCTAAAGAGTTTCGTTTTGGAATCAAATTCCGTGCCCATCTAAAAGAAACATCCTACCAGAGCCTGGTCCGGTTTGGCTGTGCACTTGTTTGGCGGGGTGTCGATGCACAAGTTTCTCGCAGAGAGGTCGCCTGCTAGGAGGGCTCATAGCTCCAAAGTTTGGAGTGACTTCTCAGCCTCCATGCTTGTCGATCGGCTTGTGAAGTCCTTAAAGGACAGCAACCCCAGGCAATGAACAAGCTGTTCCTTTGCCGAGCAAAATTGGGAAACGGCAAGCATCTACGAAGACTTCCTCCACTACGACTTGTGACTTGTGATTGAGACCCTCAAATTTAAAGGTTTGCAAGGACCTTTGGTAGGCTCTTGTGGTAGTGGAGCAAATCCCAAGATCAAGAGATTTGGTGCCCGTGTGCTGATGCTTCTTTGGCTTTCCTACATCGCTTTGACAGGTTCGCAAATAGGTCTTGGATGATTCCTCCTCTTCGCAGAACATGTATTGGTTTCTTCAGCATGACGCCTTTTGTAGCAATCCCATGTTTTCGAGCGGCCTTCCTTGGCCAGAAATAGCAACCAACCGGTCGACCCAGGCGATAAAGGCTGTTTCGCTCATGTGGACTGAGTACACGAGAGCTGAAAACACACCGTGATGCTGCATATTTGGGTGTTTGTGAATCTACCAATTCTAGACACTTGCCTTGCTCAAGAGGAAACAAATCGTTTTGTTTTGGTCTAGTGCAGTCTACCAGGTGTCAATTTGGGGGTCCATCGCTACTTGGTGAACAAGCGGTTTAGGGATGACCTCCCATTCGTGCAACTGTGTGCGGTCCTGAGACCCCTAAGTAGTGAATCATGAATTTTGGTTTGATAGTCAAGTGAGTCAAATAACAAACGAGCATCTCTTATCTTCAGGAATCTTACAGGAATCTTTCATTTTTTCCGGACACTTCTTCACTTCTTCACTGTTCTCTTGAACTGGCCACCCTGTACCAGGAAGCTTTGCAGTGCCTTCTTAAACGACCCTGACCGAGAACGGGATCCTGGCGCGGTCCTCACCAAGGTGCCGTATTCGGTCGCGTGCGGTTCCTCGTTTCTCCGAGCTGATTGCTTTTTGTTTTGGGTGCAATTTGGCCAACTTGTGTGTGGTGTGATTAAGGGATCCAGATGTACATTTGAACAGATGGATTAAATAGATATTGCGGTCAGTATTGGGTACTTGATGGTATTTGTATCAACTGGGTGCCTGCAGGGAACTTAGAAAGGCCCAGCTTCACACCCCCGACCGTCACACCGGTGCCCTGGAGCACACCGAAACTCGCACGGTGGGACCCCCTCAGAAAGCCCCCCGTTTTTCGCGCGAACGAAGCCGAAACACGCGTCGGAGACGCGGATGCGCCGCAGGTTTTCCTGGACACGCAAGAGATCCTCATGAAGCAAGGGACCTTTGAGACCAGCGGTACCACGTGTACCATCGTGTGCGCCCGCGGTGCACGTGTCGGACGTGTTCTTGGCCGAAGGAACGTCTGCGGTGCGTGTGATAGGCGAAATGGTGGTGCCCGTTGCTTCAACGCGGCGCGTTTGAGAGTTTCCAAGCAGTTGATCCCAGGTTTTGAACATGTTCGAACCAAGATTTAGGGATGTGCTGGTGCTCTTGGCTGTCCTTTGACCGGCTAAAGCTAATTGGTGTGCGTTTGGGAAGCCCTTTTGGACCGGTCGTGATGTTGGCACGAGAGTGCCGACCAAAACACCAGTGTCCCAAAGTGTGAAGGTTTTTCTTGGCAGTTTCCTTTTATTCTAATAGCTTCTTGTTACTACTAGTAAGGCACTTGTTACTACTAGCGTGGCACTTGTTACTAGGAGTTTCCTTTTATATTTTCTTGCCAGGTATCATGATAAGAAGCTCGATAAGCTCACCATCGCTCATGCCGGGACGCTTAGACGCTTACGATCGGAGGGTAGAGTGCTGAGCTCACATCCAAGCGCAATTCTTTTTCAGATGGTGAGAGCTATGGGGGTTCTTACTTCCAGCATAGGAAGAGGTGAGCCTGGGTGCTGGTGCCGCTGCAGGGTGCTGCAAGATGTCTTTTTCGCAGTGTGTGGCTCGCATGTTGGTGCAGCTGCAGGGCGCTGCACACAAACATATATCTTTTGCTACTTGGGGTCTATGCTGGCGTATTCGTATAGAATTGAACACACCCAACCCTGCTTTGCAAGCAGTCAGATGTATGTGGGTTGGACATCAAGGTGTTGGGATCTGATCTTTGCCGTTGATTTGGGATGATGGCTCCCTGTTCCACTCTCCTCTCCCAACAAGGCACCACAACTGTGCAACTTCTTTAGGTCACCGTGCGCTGTTTGCCAGGTGGGTGACAGCCGCAGTGTGCTGGGGAAGAAGAAAGATGAGATGTCGCCCTGGGAGAGCTTGGAGTTGACCACAGATCATAAGCCCGATCTTCCCAAGGACCGGAGTGAACCGATCAGCCAATCGAGGAGGATTCGCACGAAAGGAATCGTTTTTTCCGGCGCGGATGGGTATCTTTGGCGGTTGCCTGTCGTTTTCGGGCGTGATGAAAAGTAGGTGGCCTAGGTTGGAATGGATAAGACTGCGGAGAAACCGACAGAAGGGCGACCAGAGACCAAGACTGTTCCACGACTGTTCTACAATTCTAGGACACATAATCCTATTTGTTGACGCCGGGAGTGTGTGCATGGCTTGTTCACACCGCCTTATTTTAAGAGGGGTCCCACAATTCTTTTTCTGAGGCTTCAGCTCGGTGGTTCTAGGGTTTATCATGACTTTATTTTCATACCAAGTCTTGCCACGCAGCTCCCATCGTCCCATCCAAAGGAGAAGCAACGCATTGAGAATGCGAACCCTCCTGGCCGTGTGGTCTTCGACGGCTGCTCGGCACAGCCGTGGAAACCCGCGCCCGGATCGCCTCCATCGGGTTAAGAGAGAGAGAGAGAGAGACTCGTCGGCCGGCACCTGCCTTGAGGCTATTACAACCATCGTGTCTTCGCGATGAACGGGATGTATCCAGGCCGCCCTGTTTGTGACATCGACAGGTCGAAAGTCAAGAGGAAAGGGAGGGAAGGTGGGAAGGTGTACATGGAGAACTTGCAAGCACACGAATTGGTCGATTTGGTACTTCCTCACTCATCCGGCCCACCCAAAGCAGAAGTTGGAAGAGGAAGCCGGACCACGGGTTCCGTTCTCCGCTCGCTCAACACACCCGTCGCCCGCTATCCGCTCGCCCATGCTTCCGTCGCTTCCGGTGTTTCCAACCTTTTCGGTGAAACATCGTGAAACTTTCCTTTCTAATAGGCACTTGTTTCTAATAGCTTCTTGTTACTACTAGTAAGGCACCTGTTCCTAGTAGCGTGGCACTTGTTCCTAGTAGCTTCCTTTTTTCGGTGAAACATCGGATTGGATGTTCTTCTTCTGCGCGGCAGGCCTCAACATGTCCCGGGCGCTGGGAGATGTGATTGCACACAAAGAGGCGCACCGGTGCGGCAAGGCGTCTTTTCCACCGGACCCACCAAGTGGTGAAGGAATCAAATCAAGAAGACAAAGGCTCATACTTGATAGGCACCAATGGCCAGCCTCATACTCCTTTTGTCAGTTTTGCTCGTTTGACGGTTCTTTGACGTTCTGGTCCAAGTGGCAAACTTGGTCCATTTGCTCAGGGAGGAATCGAGCCATGCCTTTGGATCAAACCTGTGTGGGCTATATATACCCTCCCGCAAACTAACATGGAACCTGAGAATTGACCGGTGGTTTCGACCATTTTCCTTTACCACCTGACGTGCTTTCGGGGTTCCATGTCAATTTGCAGGGGAGTAGCTGACGAATGCTGAACAGGGAGACTTGCGGCAACGAAAAGTGGGCTTTCGGCTCCTCGATTCATTCAGATGCTCCCCATAAACCTCAAGAACAAGAGCTTTTGTCCAATTGATGGGCCTTCTCCATCTCGAAGTGAAGGAAGGTTGATAGAACTAGTAGAAGGGCATATTTGTGGTTTGTGGTTAGAGACCCTGCAGACCCCCAACTACCCTATCGTCACAGGGGCACTCTGTTGGGCATGGGCAGGCGGGCCTCAGCGCCGAGCCGGACATTTGCGTCATTGACCTGAAGGTCTCGCAGCGTTCTCCGGTCGAGGGAAGGACAGCTTAGGCCGGTACGGGGGAGCTGGAAGATTCACATGGAACATGAGAAGATTGTTTTCAAAGCCAATTCAGATGACCTGCAACCTACTAGCGATGGCTCTTGAAGAATCCTCCTCAAAGCCAATGTGCACCCTCCGCATGGAAGTTCTAATCTCCAACACTCTTCGTTGTGGGAGTGGAAAAAGCTGCATGAGAGGCTACGGCAGTCACGTGAGTCACATAGGCAGGAGAACTTGCGCCCGTCAGAGATGTTTGAAAGGGACGTGCGCGCCAATGATTGGTCTCCCACCAGGCAGAGCGCGAGAAATACGCCAAGCTCATGCTGCTAGTGTGCACGGATGGCGTGGCTTGGCGAGCGAAGGGTAGTCGAGAAGTTCCGAGTAGGAATATTGGGCCGATGAAAACACTATGGTTTTGGAGGGTACAGGAGGCAAAGGCTCGTCTATGAGCAGCCACGAGGGGTGGTGAAAAGATACACCTTGACCATCTTGACCTAATAGGATGACAAACGCTTCTTTCTGCCAGCGAAAAGCGCTGATCAAGAAAGGGCAGGCTCTCCTTGGAGTCTCTCAGATGGAGTTACAGTTACATACCATCCAAATGCTTTGGGATGCTCAAACCATCTCGGATCCGGATGAGTCGGGGGTGACCGTCCAGGTCAACACGCACTGGGCACTGGGCAAGTCTGGTTATGACGACTGAGACTCCAACCTTTTCCAGCGGTCCAGGGTCTGACACGCTTGGGGAGTCCAGGTCTCTGACACTTGTGGTCACTCACTCTTGGCTTGACACTCCAGGTTTGGGAGTTCATTCTAAGCCAAGAGGCCCACCGCCGCACGGCGGTTCGACTGGCGGTGACTGGAGGGACCGAGAAGGGTCCCTCTTGGGATGGAAAGGCGGCGGTGGTCACGAAACGACGAACGGGGGTGGAGAAAGGTGTGAATACGGTGTAGTACGGTGCGGGCAACTTTCTGCTACAGTACTACAGAGGATACAAACATGCCCACATACCAAGTCGGTGCTGTTGCAGGCCTGTCGGCACGGTCTGGGGGAGTTGCGGGAGTAAAACGATGCTGGTCTTGAGCCTCAAGCTGGAGCTCATCAAAGGATCCCAAGAACCCAAGAACCGGCATTCTCGGGCCAGGCCATTAACATGGTGCAGAAATTTCCTGACTGCCAACAGGCTGGGATGGCGCCGTAGTTCGGATGGCAAGCAGAAGCCAATCCGTGTGTTGAGTCGTGCGTTTCGAGAAAAACGCTGGAAGCCCTCCTCCCTCCTCCTCCTCCCTCCTCCTCCTCCCTCCTCCTCCTCCTCCCTCCTCCTCCTCCTCCCTCCCCCCTCCTCCTCCTCTCACATCCTGCACCCGAACCATGATTGTGTTTTACAGCGCGCCACCGACGGATCGCGGTGTCCGTTTTTGTTCCTTCCAGGCAGTGGATCGGCTCATGAAGGAAAGCTGGGATCGATGGATGAAGGACTCCGACAATGTCATTGCCTCAGAGGGGGTGCAGAGGAAGAAGAAGGAAGGGCTGGCTCAAGTGTGGGACACTAGGTGAAGGAACCGCCCGGTTCCTTTCCCTGTACCCCTCATGAAAAAGTTCACATGGCTTGCACGTTTGTATGGATTTGGATCCCTGGTCATCTTTCAAAACGCCCTGGAGACAAAAGCTTCTGCACTCACTGTCCTCAGGAAATCACGGACGACATTACTGCCGTCTTGGTGCACTTGTGACCTCACACTTCCAGCGACCTCACCCCACACGGCCTCCTCCCGTGCTCCAATTCAGATTGCGAGACAGACGGCCAGACTTGAAAGGCGATGAGACGGCGGGAAGCCTCTTTTTGGGGCCTCGCCACGAGCATGTGTCCAGACATATTAGTTCCAATTCCCTTGTTATTTCCCTCGAGTTTTTCCCTGACAGGAGGGTATATAGGTCCCAGAAACACCTGAAAGGCCACTCTGAGTCTTAGGGTTTAAGATGCAGTTCCTGGGACGGAAGGCCTTCATCACAGGCCCCAAAGGCAGGTGCCTCCACATGGGGGCTCCACGCCCGTCCGGTGCAGAGCATCAGCATGAATCAGCGGGCATCCCTGAGCAATTAGATGGTTCATGATGGTGGGGGAGGGGTTCTGGAGCTCGTTCCTCTACGTGCTCTTCGCTCCGTGGAGCATGATACAGAAGAAGAGATGCCAACATGACTGGCATCCAAAGGTTCTGGGGGGAAGATCTCCTGGCATCAAACTTCATCCGCTCATTCTGGGCACGAAAACGAGTTCATGTTTGGTACGACAAGAGCACAGCACAGATCAATTGGTGACCAAGAAGAGCACAGCACGACGATACGTAGTCCGATACACTATAGAACAAGAGCACTTCCTCTATCTTGGGGCCCCTTTGGGATGTAGTCTCGTCGTTGCCCGGGAGGGGGCCACTCCAGAGGATGACCGTCCTCCAATGTTCTTTTCGTGGCTGGAAGTGTAGTAAGGATGCAACAGCCACGCATGGTGATTGGGGCAAATGCTTCTAGTTGGCCATCCAGATCTATCCAGCCAAGTCAAACACCATCAGTTCGAAAATGGCACCACTGGAAGGGACTGTGTAATTCCTGTGTAATTTCCCCTGTTTCGTCGTTCAAGACTTATGATGACTTATGTAGATTCACGGCAGGTCCCACGCTCCAGCCCGAAGCAAGCTGCATACTGCGCCGAAATTCGTGCAGCGTTTTGAAGGGGAGGCACCAGACCCGCACCAGACCCGCACCAAACTCATGGGGAGTGTCCCCTCAAAACGCGGCTACTCCGGTCCCTGTGGTCACGACGACAGGGTTGCTCCATGACCGATCCATACGGGAATGGCCGGTGCGACCAGCACCAGATGGGCAGCCTTGCAGGCCTGGACTCTTTTACACGAGTGGTTGATTGGATCTGACTTGGGTTCTTCCTAGTTCTATTTTGTTGTCCTCAAATTGTAAGACATGGGACCATCCAAAGCCAGAGGAGTTTATACAGTTGTTGACATGTTCCACATTCTGTTCGCTTGAGGATGATAGCACTCGTTTGTTTTGTATTGTTGTTTCTTCCTTTTAAAATCAGGACTCACCCAGATTCCGGTGGTTTCTAGATCCTCACGCAGAACCAAGACCATTGGAACACTGAACACATCTGAGCGGTCGGTCAGCCACTGGAGCAACCCATGAGAAAGGCATCTCCAGGTGGACCATGAGCTTTCAAACTGCGATGCTGTTGATTCAAGCCCAAAGCGCGCCCAAAGCATTCACAGAACAAATCTTTGCGCTCTGCGCGCCCAGTCCTCAAAATGCGTCCATGAAGCAAAAAGTGTTTCTTGGGCTTTCAGCATCGAACAGCACGCGATGGTCTGAAAGGGGTCTTGGCGACCCTCCGTGGACTCCTAATGCCACCGCATTGTAGGTGGGTCATTTTCGAAGGCATTTCCCGCGGCGGAACTGCGCTGCGCAGCGAGAAAGAGCCGACAAAAGGGGTTTCACGCGCTGAGCGCGAGTTCCGTGGGACTCGCAGCTCACGTTAGGAAGCTTTCAAGTGATGCTTCCTGTCCCAGCCTGTGTCCCCTCAGAAAACCCTGAAGTCATCGCATCTCCTCGAGTTCATGGGAAGAGATTTGCAGTCTGTTTTGGGTCCGTGCACACGTTCGTTCCCGGTGTTCCGTGCACCGTGTTCTCACACGGATTTCTTCGGAGAGGACCCAGTTGGCCATCCGGGACCTTCCGGGACTTTCCGGGTCGTGAAAGTGAGTGGCCGAAGGATGAACGAGATACTCTCTTTGGAAAGTCAGTGGCCCTGGAATATGAAGTTGAGCTATCTACTGGGTCTTCCTGAAAACCGGCGTTGCGCCATCTACTCCCCACATAGGGCAGCAAGGCATATCAGCCTCGATAGACTAAAGTAAAAGCAATCGAGGAAATTGCACCATGTTTCTTCTTAACATTGAATAATTTTGGAAAACACAGCTGATATTGCAATTCTTGGCTGTTTTAAGTTTGCGCTATTGGGGTTGCGCCACTGAGTTTTTGCGGAGTGTAATGAAGGATAATGATAAAAGGATATGAGGATTTCCTGGTTCCTTTGAGCTTCTTGGTGAGTCACCAAGATGCTTCTAGCTGCCAAATCAGGCAGAGGCTCTTGTCCCTCTGGAGGGACCGTCTGGGGCATTTTCATCGTCGGAAGTCGCAGCTACGATGCTCTTGGCACTCAGGCCACAGGCAGAGAGGAGGCACAGCACGGACACGAGGGCGGCCTTCAAGAACTGCATCGAGGGCAGCGAGCAGATGACGTTCCAAACACTTCAAGTCAACGCTAGACATGGCTAGACATGGGACATGGCAACCGAGTAGACTCAGATGGGTCTGAAGATGTGCAACGCAGAAGTAGCAGGTCCGTTCTTCGCGGGGCCCTCATGCATCGGCTGGGCGCCGTGAGAGCACATGGCCCACAGGCCATGAGGGCGGCGCCCAGGTTTGGTGAAAGGAAGTATGAAGATCCTACTAAAGTGCATTGCTACCAGTAACAAGTGCATTACTACTAGTAGCAAATAGCTACTACTAGCTTCTAGCTACAAGTATTTTGTTTGGTGAGAGTGTTAATACACAATTGATCTTATTTTCAGACAGATTCTCCAATTCAGGTGGGATCGTGTGATTCGTTCCAACCATGGCAAGGATCAAATCTTGACTTGGTATCTTGAACTGGCAGAGCATCTTTGGACCGTCAGAGCATCTCAAAGACGGCCAGATGGAACTAGTTCGCTCCTGGGACTGCGGGGAGGTCTTTCAACATGTAGTGGGAGGATTGCAGAGACACAAAGGTGATCAAAGTGAAATGGTTTCCCTTTTTGGGTGGCACCATAAGCAAAAACCTGGTGGCCCTTCCCCTTCTGCAGCTCGCGTTTTGCACGGAACACGCGTTTCACACACGAAGTGACCGAGGGCTGGCGAGGCAGACGCCAGGCCGATTGGGACAGCTTCCCTTTGGGTTTTTCGCAGCAGTGTAGAGGAAAGAATAGTAGTAGCAGTAGCGTAGCACCAGAAGCAGGGGCGGCGGTGGTCATTGGTTGTTGGTTCATTGTCGGTGGTTGGTTGCGACTCTCATCGATGGTTGTCGGTTGTGGTCATTTTTGTGATTCTTGTGCTTGTTGTGGTTGCTGTTCTTGCTTCATTGGTCTTCTGGTCACGGTCGCTGTTACTGTGGTAGGTGCAGACGGTTTTCAGCTCTAAGCATCGCTGACCTGTACTCATCCAGTTTGGGATGATCAGCGGGTTTAGCACACCCAGGCTCGTTTCGACGGAGCCCCCACCAAGCCCCGACTTGTCGTTTTGGGCGTGGAACTTCACCGTGCTTCACCTCGTCCCGTCTTTTTTATCTTCGGGCCAACCTCACGGTTGACCTGCGGGGGCAGGTTCCATGACGTATCCGAATAGTCTCAATGAGTGTATTCGAGCTCCACAGCAATACCAAAGCCTTCCAAAGCCGTTCGAACGTGACTCATCCCCGTTTCGGAATCCGAAGAGGATGACCAGCGGAACATCCATCCATCCGACTTCTAAAGCGGAGGACTTATGCGGCCTTCACGTCATTTTCGTAGTTTTCACCTCAAGGAACCTTTAAAAGAGGTGGTGGACGTGTGACGCGAGGGCAATGTTCCGCTCCACGTGTTTTTTTAGACCAGGCCCAGGCAAACACCTGACCTCCAGACTCACGTTGCATGGAAGTGGATCACTCGTTACTTGCAAGCATTGTCATTTTTTGAGGGTTATCGACGTGACCTGTGTGATGTGTTTGGCGTACCGGGTTAAGTCAAACTGCTCACCATCCTGAGCTGGTCGCGATGTAAACGCTCATGTTAAATGGGCAGTGGCCAGGCCTGCTCCAATCTTCTTCCTGAGTTGCGAAGTGCCACATGCCATGAAGCTAGAGCTTCATAGCTTCCTCTTAGGCCCTTCGAAATCGGGCTTCCGCCGTCCAGGCCTCCTTTCAGCCGGTCCTCAACTTCCTGCGCCCGCGGCTGCGACTGCCCGCCAGCGTGGCGGCGGCTCGCGGGCCTCCGGAGGTGACGCTGACCTACGCACAGAGCGGCCCGGCGAAGCGGAGCGGAGCGAAGCGAAACGGTGATGGCTTGAAGGCGAAGCGGGAGGTGGCAAGGTATGTAAGTCGAAACTGGACATGAACCATTTTTTTCCATGTCCAGTTTGCACTTGCCTAGGTCAAAAAGATGTGGTGAAAAAGGGTTGGGAGAGGTCTTGGGATCTCTGAGACCTTCCAAGAGGTCGAGAAACGATGCAAGCACCCCCTCCGTGACCTTCAGGATGGTGAAGGAGTAGCGCCAATCAAGTTCCGGGAGTTCCCATTCTTTTGGCACCCCAAAAAGGGCCTCTTGAGAAACTGAGAAGGTCAGGAATTGACTTGTAGGGGCGCCTGCCTGGCAGCTCAGTTTGGAGGAGTCTTTTGAGGCCACCACACCAGGCTTAGCTCCATCCACGGCCGACATTCAGCAGCCTTTTTGGATGGAGCTGGTGCGTAAAGTCCAAGTGGGGCTTGTACTATTCCACTGGTGGAGGTGAAAGGATCTTTCAATGTCTCTGCCTGATGATGAGGCTTGGATGGTTGCATTGCTGGGCGCACTTCAGAGCGGGAGCTCATCAGTGGCCATGCGCCTTGGCTGTTCTTGTGATGAGCGGTTGATGAGGAGGAAGGAAAGGGTGACAAATGCAGTCGCTAGTTTGTTCAGGGCATAAGACCAGGGCTTTTGCAAGAAGGTTTGAAGAGGATCAGAAGACCCATAGTTCATACAATTTCGATCGACCACAGGATTGAGACACGGTTTTTGACCGCACTGATG